GATCCCCTGGAGAAGGAAACGACAACCCACTCCAGTACTCTTGCCTGCAAAACTCCATGGACGGAGGAGCCTGGTAGGCTACAGTCCATGGGGTTGGATGCAAAGAGTCAGAAACGACTGAGCGACTTCACCTTCTAACTTCTTTCTTGTGGGCAAAAGGGAAGAGAAATAAATTGGCTCAAAGAAGCACTGTTTTTAAACCACAGCACAGCTGGAGGTGTTACTTTCTCCCTTAAGGGGTTACTTGTCCTCCCTTAGCAAACAACTGCCTCCTCAGGCTGTCTCAACTCTTCAACTGTTTATATATATTTCCATTACGCTTCCTACAAGTTCACGTTGATCCCAATCAGACAGTTCTGAATTTTGGCTCAGGTTTAACTTTGTTCTTAATGGTTATTCAGGAGGCTACTTATGTTCCTCCACAGGTCAGTTTTGTTGCCTTCTACTCCAGGTCAGAATGCAAGCTGACGTGACAAAGCCAGGATTTCAGGAGTCACTCACTGGTACAAGAGAAACTAAGCAGAGATAGCAAAGAGAGCAAAGACCTGCTAGTCAAAGTCACAGCTTAAGAAATCTCAGAGGTAGGATTACAGGTAAAGGATGCTGTGTAAATGATGTGGAAACAGGAGTAAGGAAGGAAAAGAAATGAGACCGTGTAGAATGAGTTAATGAAGATTCTGCTCTCAGGGATAAGGAGGAGCCCTAAAATAAGAAGTGCTCAAAACCATAAGAAGAGGTAGTGGCTTGGGAATAAAATGTCCTTTTGGCAGTTACTTTACTCTTTACCTCATGCCCTCTCCTATTTATTAATAGTTGCCCCTATTATTTCTCAAGCCTCTAAGGGTTATAGAAACTCATTTGCATGGAACTCCCAGGATCTCCAGTTCCAGGCTAGGGCAAAAATAACATTTCTAAGATTTATAGATTAGGGAGCAAAGAGTCGAGTTTATACCTCCATACTAAACTTTTAGACAGTAACTAAAACAGCTCCTGGGAAGACCACCAAACACCCTAAGCTTCTTGGTAAACCTGGCATATAACCCTGTGAAAGAATACAGTTCTCTTCAGTTCTCTTCTCATTACCCTAGTGAAATCCTCCATTTCTTCCCTAAATAAGAAACTGTACTCAAGAAAGCCACACACCCAACGTGATAGTATTAGAGATCTCCTCTCTGATCAGAAGCACCAAAATCTACTTGTATGAAAGCACAGAAAGACAAAAGAAGGCCAAAAAGTAAAAGGAAATGTCTATATACATTGAACTTCTGGAAGCCCTGGCCAGGGAAATAAGACAATAAAAAGAAACGAAAGGCATTAAGATTAAAAAGGAAGATGTAATACTGTTTTTATCTGCAAGCAACATGCTGTATATAGACAATCCTAAAGAATCTACAATTTAAGAAAGTCATGGGGTACAAAGCTAATACATAAAAACCAGCTGTATGGCTATATACAAGTAATAAACAATTAGAAAATAGAATGAAAAATACTAGTTACAATATTATCAAACTGATGAAACAGGAATAAAATTACTGAAAGATGCTCAAAACCTCTATACTGAAAATTATTTAAAAAAACACCACTGAGAGAAATTATAGGCAATCTAAATAAGTAGATGTCCAGGGATTGGAAGATTCAATATTAAGATGTCAATTCTCCCCAAAATGACCAAAAGATTCACTGCAATGCCAATCAAAATCCCAGAAAGCATTTTTCTAGCTAAAAACTGGCAAACTAATTCTAAAATTTATGTGGAAATGCAAAGGACTTAGAATAATCAAGGCAATCTTAAGGAAAAGGAACAAAGTAGGCGGATTTATAGTACCTGATTTCAAGACCAACTTTATAAAGTTAAGATAATCAAGACTTTATTAAATGTAGTACAGAAGCAGAGACAAGACAAACAGACCAATGGAACAAAGAAAAGAGAACAGAAATAGCACACAGAGCTGAAAATCAGTCAGCTGATTTTCAACTAAGGCACCAGTGCAATTCAATGGATAAAGGAAAGTCTTTTTAACAAATGATGCAGAAACAACTGAATATTCATACAGAAAAAAGTAAACCTTTATTCCTATAACATTTTTAGATGTAAACACAAAAGAATATCTTTTTAAGCTTAGGGTAAGCTAAGATTTCTTAGGACACAAAAAACACCAACCACAGGGGACTTTGCTGGCAGTTCAGTGGCTAAGACTCCATGCTTCCACTGCAGGGGGCATAGATTCAATTCCTGTTTGGGCAACTAAGATCCAGCATGCCTCATGGTATGGCGGAAAAAAAAAAAGTACTAACCATGAAAGAAAAAATTGGTAATTTGGATTTCATCAACATTTAAGACTTTTGGCCATCAAAATCACCATTAAGAATATAAAAAGGCAAGCCAGAGACTGGCAGAAAATATTCACAACACATATCTGACAAAAGACTTCTATCTATAATATACAAGGAATTTATATAATCTATAATAAAAAGGCAAACAACTGGAAAAAAAAAGGCAAATGTCTTGAATAGACATTCCATGAAGATATACTAATGGTCAATAATCACATGAAAATGTGATCAGCATCACTATTACCAGGGACATGCAAATTAAAACTACAATGAGACAGTGTTACATAACACCCACTAGAATGGTTAAAGTTAAAAAGACTGACAGTACCAAGTGTTGATGAAGATGTGAAGCAAATGCAATTCTTATACATTGCTGACAGAAGTATAAAATGTACAACCATTTAGAAAACTATCTGGCATTTCTCAATACAGTAAATCCTACAAACTATAATGTATTTTTTTTCAAACTATAATATTTTTACAAAAAGATCTGCAGAACAATGTTCATAACAGCTTTATTCATAATATCTAAAATTTTGAAACAATGCAAATGACCATCAACAGAAAAATGGGTAAATAGTGGTATTCTTATTCAGTGGAATACTACTCAGCAATAAATAAGAACAAGCTAGTTATACCAGCAATAATACGAATTTGAAAAATACTATGTTGAACAAAAGAAACCAAAATAAAATTATATGATTTCATTTATATGTAGTTCATGAACAAGCAAAATTAACATATGTTGACAGAAATCAGAATAGCAGTTGACTTTAAAGGTGGAGGATTAACTAAAATGAAGCACAAAGGAACTGTGAAAGGTGATGGAAATGTTCTAGATTTGGATAATGATAACCTAGTGGCTCAGACGATAAAGAATCCACCTGCAATGTGGGAGACCTGGGTTTGATCACTGGGTTGGGAAGATCCCCTGGAGGAGGGCATGGCAACCCACTCCAGTATTCTTGCCTGGCGAATCCCCATGGACAGAGGAGCCTGGTGGGCTACAGTCCCATGGCATCACAAAGAGTTGTACACACTGAGCGACTGAGCACAGCACAATCTGAGTGTATATAATTGTCAAAACTCATCAAACCATATACTTAATATCTGTGTATTTTACTGTGTATAAACGTAAAATACATTTATACACAGTAAATGGGCACTGTGTATACAGCTACCCTGGTGGCTCAGTGGTAAAAGAATCTGCCTGCCAATGCAGGAGACTCAAGGGATGAGGGTTTGATTCCTGGGTCAGGAAGACCCCCTGGAGTAGGAAATGGCAACCCTCTCCTGCATTCTTGCCTGGACAAGAATAAAAAACTGGCTACAATCCACAGGGTTGCAAAGAGTTGGACTCAACTGAGCATGCACACAAAGGAAGGGAAAGGCCATGTAAATATCTGCATTAATTTCTTGCTCTTTGGCGCATAGATAGGCAGAAAATATTAATATATCTGTTTGCAATCACCAGAAATAGCAGAAATTTTGCTCCCCAACTCAAATAAGATGGCAACATTATCAGAATGAATTTTTTCCAAAGGACATCAATTTTAGAATAGTCAACAGTGGATCTTTCTCAGTTTATGTGCCACAGACCATGCGGGAGATTGCATCCTCACATCCATAGGCTCGCTATATAATTTTTTTTTATTTTTATTTACTTGCTATATAATTTTTAAAATAATTTTATTACTTATTTATTTTTGGCTGTGCACGGTCTTCTCTAGTTGCAGCAAGTGGGGGCTACCCTCTAGTTGAGGTACTCAGGCTTCTCATTGTGGTGACTTCTCTTGCTGTGGAGCATGGGCTCTAGTGTGTGGAGGCTTTAGTAGCTGTGACATGTGGGCTCGGTAGTTGCGGCTCCCAGACTCTAGAGCACAGGCTCAATAGATGTGACACCTGGGCTTAGTTACCCTGAGGCATGTGGGATCTTCCCAGATCAGAGATCAAACCTGTGTTTCCTGCATTGGAAGGCGGATTCTTTACCACTGAGCCATCAGGGAAGCCCACTCATGTTAGTTGCTTAATCAAAGGAGACTAAACTTTCAAATACTATCACGTGAGGGAGCTGAAATTTTTGAAAGTTTCTTCTTATTTCTTTCCACTCAATCTCTCATCTGCAGAGTCAGCTGGTGGTCTGATTTCTATTACCATACGTGAAAATAAAAGTGAAAGTCGCTCAGTCACGTCCAACTCTTTGCCACCCCATGGACTATATAGTCCGTGGAATTTCCAGACCAGAATACTGGAGTGGGTAGCCTTTCTCTTCTCCAGGGGATCTTCCCAACCCAAGGATCAAACCCAGGTCTCCCACATTGCAGGTGGATTCTTTACCAGCTGAGCCACCAGGGAAGCCCCTACTATACGTAAGTTTTGTTTATTCATGAACTTTATATAAATGGAATCTTTTGAAGTACATTAGAAATTACCTTTTTTATAAAGATGTATTATGACTGAAAAATACTGGCAACTAGTGACTGTGACAACTGAGTGTCTAAAATCTTTACTAGTAACCAAACTAAACAGCAGATGAAACATGGGCAGCAAAGTATGGGGTACTAGAATATATTTTTTAAAACACATTATAAACTGCAATGCATTGGGAAAATATAAGATGATATTTATTTTCAACAAATAAAAAAAATCAATAAACAGCTTTTCACCTTAAGTTTCTGATATATGTGGCGCAGAGAATCTGCAGTTCCCATGTCAGCTTCATCGGGAATACACACAATATCTAGCTTCATTTTCATCTTGTTGAAGTCTGCACACAAAGCCTTTTGGACATCCTTGGTTGTAATGACAATGACTTCTAAAGCATTAAAAAAAAGGAAGGAAAAGTGCAAAAACTCTCATTCATTTAGACAATGGTTACACTACTTCAGTTAGATTTGGTCTGCTTCTAGATTTAGTAATGACAGCTAATATTATTGAGATTTTGCAACACACTTTACATGCATCTTCTCAATTAATTCTTACAACAAATAATTAAAAATTTGTAAAAACTCCTCAATTTTACAAATGAGGAAACTTGGACTAAAAGATATGAAGTGACTTTGTTTAGGGTACATAAAACCAGTAAGCAAGAGATCAAAGATAAAACATGTTAATATATTACACACCACTTCTTCCTGACATAAAGAATGCAAAAGAGCACTTATTAAACCATATACCAATGAGATTATATTTTATTCTATTCTATTCTAGTTTTAATTTTTGGTCGCACCAAGCTGCATGTGGGATCTTAGTTCCCCTGACCAGGGATTGAACCTGTGCCCCTTGCATTGGAGGCATGGAGTCTTAACTACTGGACCACCAGGGAAATCCTGGGATCACATTTTAAAACTTCATTCACTACAAAGAAAGAGCTATCACCACTTCCCATCAGATGGCTATTAGTGTTTCACTGATGATCATAATGAATCCAGTAACAGACAATTTCCATGTAATCGATGCCTTCACCTTATCCATATAGCCATTAATTAACAAAAACTTGGGGTTCTGTCATGGATCTTTGGCAGGGTAATGTAATCCACTGCAATATAACATGTGTTGCAGATATCTGAAGATTAGATTTTAGCATCTCTAAAGTGTAATAATTTCTATATGTGTTTCTTAATAGTGCTCAATTACCTTTCCTTTTCACTATAATCATTCTTTTTTCACTTTCTTCTCTTTCTTCCTTTCTTTCTTTTTCATATCATTTAACTTTCCTTCCTTCCTTCTTCCTTTTCCCACTTAGCTTTCTTTCAGTCATTAACTCACTCATTCAACCAACAAATACAATTGTATTTAATACCTAAAGGCCAAACAGGCACTGAGAATTCAGAAATGAACTAAACATGGCTCCTATTCTTAAGAAACATAACATGAAATTTTAGACATGAAAATGGTTAAGGAAGGCTTCATGGAAAGGATGGCTTTTGAGGCAGGCCATGATGAACTCAAGTCCAGTGTAGTATATACCATATATAAAATGCTGATGTTACAGAGATGAATTAGACACAGTACCTGCTCTCAGGAGGATTAGTCTAACATGCCACTAACTACAGCATAAAGCAGACCTTAAAAGGTACTGGGATAGAGAAACAAAGTTTGATAAAAACACAGAGGACAGGGTGACTGACACTGTTTGGGATTTCAAGAAGGTGACATTTCCATAGGGTGGAGAGATTTTAGGTCGAGTGAAGGGAGTGAACTATAAACACAGGTCAGTCAGTCTCATAATTGGACCAGTCAGTTCAGTTCAGGCACTCAGTCATGTCTGACTTTTTTTGACTCCATGGACTGCAGCACACCAGGCTTCCCTGTCCATCACCATCTCATGGAGCTTGCTCAAACTCATGTCCATCGAGTCGGTGATGCCATCCGGCCATCTCATCCTCTGTCGTCCCCTTTTCCTCCTGCCTTCTATCTTCCCCAGCATCAGGGTCTCTTCCAATGAGTCAGTTCTTCACATCAGGAGGCCAAAGTGTTGGAGCTTCAGCTTCAGCAGCAGTCCTTCCAATGAATACTCAGGACTGATTTCCTTTCGGATTGACTGGTTTGATCTCCTTGCAGTCCAAGGGACTCTCAAGAGTCTTCACCAACACCACAGTTCAAAACATCAATTCTTCCGCACTCAGCCTTCTTTACTGTCCAACTCTCACATCCATACATGACTACTGGGAAAACCATACTTTGACCAGACGGCCTTTGTCAGTAAAGTAATGTCTCTGCTTTTTAATATGCTGTCTAGGTTTGTCACAGCTTTTCTTCCAAGGAGCAAGAGTCTTTGAATTTCATGGCTGCAGTCACTATCTACAGTGATTTTGGAGCCCAAGAAAATAAAGTCTGTCACTGTTTCCATTGTTTCCCCATCTACTTGCCACAAAGTGACCAGATGCCATAATCTTCGTTTTTGAATGCTGAGTTTTAAGCCAGCTTTTTCACTCTCCTCTTTCACTTTCATTAAGAGGCTCTTTTTTTTTTTTTTCATTTATTTTTATTAGTTGGAGGCTAATTACTTTACATCATTGCAGTGGTTTTTGTCATACATTGAAATGAATTAGCCATGGATTTACATGTATTCCCCATCCCGGTCCCCCCTCCCACCTCCCTCTCCACCCGATCCCTCTGGGTCTTCCCAGTGCACCAGGCCCAAGCACTTGTCTCATGCACCCAACCTGGGCTGGTGATCATTAAGAGGCTCTTTAGTTACTCTTCACTTTCTGCCATAAGGGTGGTGTTACCCGCATATCTGAGGTTATTGTTACTTTTCCCAGCAATCTTGATTCCAGCTTGTGCTTCATCCAGCCCTGCATTTCGCATGATGTACTCTGTATAGAAGTTAAATAAGCAGGACGACAATATACAGCCTTGACATACTCCTTTCCCAATTTTGAACCAGTCCATTGTTCCACGTCCAGTTCTAACTGTTGCTTCTTGACCTGAATACAGATTTCTTGGGAGGCAGGTAAGGTGGTCTGATATTACCATTTCTTTAAGAATTTTCCACAGTTTGTTGTGATCCATACTGTCAAAGGGTTTAGCATAGTCAATGAAGCAGAAGTAGATGTTTTTCTGGAATTCTCTTGCTTTTTCGATGATCCAGCGGATGTCGGCAATTTGATCTCTGGTGCCTCTGCCTTTTCTAAATCCAGTTTGAACATCTGGAAGTTCACAGTTCATGTACTGTTGAAGCCTAGCTTGGAGAATTTTGAGCATTACCTTGCTAGCATGTGAAATGAGCGCAACTGTGTGGCAGTTTAAGCATTCTTTGGCATTGCCTTTCTTTGGGATTGGAATGAAAACTGACCTTTTCCAGTCCTGTGGCTACTGCTGAGTTTTTCAAATTTGCTGGCATATTGAGCGCAGCACTTTCACAACATCATCTTTTAGGATTTGAAATAGCTCACCTGGAATTCCATCATCTCCACTAAATTTGTTTGTCATGATGTTTCCTAAGGCCCACTTGACTTCACACTCTAGGATGTTTGTCTCTAGGTGACTGATTACACCATTATGGTTATCTGGGTCATTAAGATCTTTTTTTGTATAGTTCTGTGTATTTTTGCTACCTCTTCTTAATATCTTCTGCTTCTGTTAGGTCCATACCATTTCTGTCCTTAATTGTGCCCATCTTTGCACAAAATGTTCCTTTGGTATCTCTTCATTTTCTTGAAGAGATCTCTAGTCTTTCCCATTCTATTCTTTTCCTCTATTTATTTGCATTGATCACTTAGGAAGGCTTTCTTATCTCTCCTTGCTATTCATTATGGAGAGACTAATGCTAAGCAGGGCTATGAACTTCCTAAAATAATGAACAATATGAACAGAATGAACAAAGAGTTTATAGATCAACTCCAGAATATCATGTTTAGGAGTCATTCTCCAAATTCTGAGTTAGCCTCATTCAGAAGGAATTTTCTACATAATAGGTACTTAATACACCTCAAAAGAATATCCCCAAATATAACTAAAGATATATAGCAAGAGGGAAAAAAAGTGATAGATGACAAAGCCATAAGAATTTATTAAGGGAAAGCAGTATATTTAAAAATGTATTAAGATGTGTCATTCACCTGTGATACTGAGCTCTAAAAATAAAATCTTTTCTAAAACACATCTCAATGTTAGTATCATACAGACCACTGTAAAGAACTGTTCACGGGTCTGTCTCAAGAAAGTATGACTGGAATAAACACTGGATCATAAGCTTAGGGCCCAGGATCTGCACCACCTCCATCTGGTATTCTAATCTGCTATATCTAACTAAAGGACACCTCAAACTCATTGTGGCCAAAGCCAAACTCACTGTCTTCGCTCAAACCTGTTCATTGTCTTACATTCCCTCTCCTACTACTGACATCACCATCCACTTAGTTACTTACCTAAGTAGAAAGTAGAGGGAACTCGTCCCTTTCTTTCTACTACCCCTCCCCATGAATCAACAACTTTCCCAAATCATCCTCCTTCTCCATCCTTAGCGCTAATGCCTTAGTTCAGGCCCTCTTTGTTGTTAGCATGGACTTTTGTATCAATCTCTTAACTCATCTCCTTGCTTACAGTCTTGACCCCCTCACACTAATTCTTCATAGAGTGCTCAAAGCAATTTAAAAAAAAATCTGTATTTCAAATTTATTACCATAAAGTTGTTCACATTTGCTTATTACCTTTTTTGTTTGTTTGCTTGTTTTGGCTGCGCTGCATGACTACAGGATCTCAATTCCCCAGCAGGGACTGAACCTGGGCCACGGCAGTGAAAGCGCAGAATCATAACCGCTAGGCCACCAAGGAACTCTCTTCCTTATTAACTTTTAATGTCTGTAGGATTTGTGGTGATGTTCCCTCTTTCATTCCTGTTATTAGTAATTTGTATCTTCTCCCCTTTTTTTGATCAGTCTAACTAAAGATTTAACAATTCTATTGATTTTTTTAAAAGAATCATCTCTTGGTTTTACTAATTTTCTCTAATGCTTTTGGGTTCTATTTCACTTCTACTCTTATCATTTTTATCTCCTTTCTACTTATTTGAGTTTCATTTGCTTCTCTTTTTCCAGTTTGTCAAAGTAGAAACTTAGATGATACTTTGAGACATTTCTTTTCTAACAGAGAACTTAATGTTATAAAATTTTCTCTAAACATTGTATTTTAGCTACATCCCTCAAACTTGAAAACATCGAATTTTCATTTTCAGTAAGGTAAAAACATTTTCTAATTCCCCTTGTGGTCAGATGGCCAAAAAGCACAAGAAAAGATGCTCAACATCACTAATTATTAGAGAAATGCAAATGAAAACTACAATGAAAACTACCTTGCACTGGTCAGAATGGTCATCACCCAAAAAAATCTAAAAACAATAAATGCTAGAGAGCGTGTGGAGGAAAGCGAACCCTCCTACACTGTTGGTGGCCCTCCTACACTGTTGGTGGGAATGTAAACTGGTAGAGCCACCATGGAGAACAGTATGGAGGTTCCTTAAAAAACTCAAAATTGAAACTACCATATGACCCAGCAATCCCACTCCTATGCATATACCCAGAGAAAACCACAATTCAAAAAGATACCTAAAAAAAAAAAAAAATACATGCACCTGATGTTCACTGCAGCACTATTTACAATAGCCAGGACATGGAAGCAACCTAAATGTCCATCAACAGAGGAATGGGTAAAGAAGATGTCATATATATACTTGGTGGAATATTACTCATTCATAAAAAAGAACAAAATAATGCCATCTGTAGCAACATGGATGGACCTAGAGACTGTCATACTGAGTCATGTAAGTCAGACACAGAAAGATAAACATCATATGATATTGCTTATATGTGGGATCTAAAAAAAAGGGTCCAAATGAAGTTTGTATAGAAGCAGAGCCACAAATGTAGAAAACAAACTTATGGCTACCAGGGAACAAGGGGGAGAAGGGATAAATTGGGAGTCTGGGATTACGTAGAAACACTACTATATAAAATAGGTAACTAATAAGAACCTACTGTATAGCACAGGGAACTCTACTCAATGCTCTGTAATGGCCTATATGGGAAAAGAGTCTAAAGAAAGAGTGGATATATGTGTATGTATAACTGATTCACTTTCTTGTACACCTGAAACTAATACGATACTGTAAATCACCTATACTCTAATATAATTGTTTTTTAAATTTCCTTTGTGGTTTCTTTGGGTTATGTACAAATATGTGGTTTGATTTCCAAATACTTAGGGATTCTCTTGATACCTCTATGTTATTGACTTCTAATATAACTCTACTATGGTTAGAGAATATATTTTGTATTATTTTAATCTTCAAAGATTTATTGAGACCTGTTTTATTTAAAAAAATACAGTCTATCCTGGTAAAAGTTCTTAGCATTTGAAAAGAATTGTGCATTCTGCTTTACTAGGTGGCATGTTCTATAAATGTCAATTAGGTAAAATTGTAAAAAACCCTAAGGAATCCACAAAAGGCTGCCAGAACTAATAATAAGTGTATTTAGCAAAGTTATAGGATACATGGCAGCATAAAAAAGCTATATTTTCATGTACTAGCAACAAATTTTCTGGAAATTGGAATAATTACCATTTATGATAACATAAAAATATCAACTACCTACAAATAAATATAAAAAAATATGTGTAAGTCCTATACACTGAAAACTATAAAGTAGTTGTGTAAGTTGAGAGAAATTACAAAAGGCCTAAATAAAAGGAGAGATATACCATGCTCCTCAATCAGAAGACTCAGTACTGTTAAGATGTGAATTCTTTTCCTACTGATCTACGGATTCAATTCAGTCTTAATCAAAGTTCTAGCAACTATTTTTATAGAAATTGATAAGCTGATTCTGAAATTTATATAAAGATACAAAGGACTTAGCATAGTGAAAACATGAATTTAACCATATTAAACTTCAGTTTAATAAGCCTTTCAGGACTTCCTTGTGCTTCACTGCGTGGGTTTGATCCCTGGTTAGGGAACTGGGATCCCACATGCCTTGTGGCACAGCAAAAAAAAAAAGGCTCTTCACTGATTTCCCACTGCTTTCAAGAAAAAAAAAAAAAAATCTAAATTCCTCAACATGGAATACAAGGCCCTTCATAGTATAATGCCTGTTTACTTCTCTCATTACATTTATTCCCTCTTACACTCGATGTTGCTGTTGTTGTTTAGTCACTAAGTCATGTCCGACTTTTTGTCAACCCAATGGACTAGAGCCCACCATGCTCCTCTGTCCATGGGATTTCCCAGGCAAGAATACTGGAGTAGGTTGCCATTTCCTTCTCCAGGGGATCTTCCCAACCAAGGGATCAAACCTGCATCTCCTGCATTGCCAAGCGGATTCTTTACCACTGAGCCACCAGGGAATACACACTGATATTAAAACCACATAAAATGAAAAGTAGTTTTTAAAAAAAAAAAGAAAAGTAGTTGCGAGAATATGTGCTGATCATGACTCTATCTCTGCAAAATTTACTACTTCTGTATGGAATACTTCCTCCACACTGGTCAGAATGTCAATGTATTTTTCAAGAGTCAATTCAAGGGTCAGCTACTCTGTAAAGTCTTCTCTGAATCTCTCAGGTTCAAACAGTAACTTCCTTATATTAATAACAAGCACTTATTATGTGCCTCTGTTATAACATTTATCACATTACACAATGATAATCTGTTTACATGTGTATCTCTCCACTAGACTTTAAGGTTCTAGAAATCAGGGCCTGAGTTAACGTTTTCAATTCTGTACTCCAGTGTTTAACATACTACCTGGCACATACAGGTTCTCAGTAAATACTATGAGGCATGTGGTCATTCTCATATTACGTTCTGGTATCCTTCCAGGGTTATCTTGGATCACTGTGGAGACCAGCTCTAAAAAAGAAACACTTAGCACTATCTTCTCAACCTTTCTCACACAGCAATAGAGCACTCCAAAGTTTCTAATTTAAAGAGGCCAGTCTCCAGCCAACGCTGAGTCCTCGTCTTCTTTCATTTACTCCTCTCACCCTCATAAAGCTGACAAATTACTGGGATGAAGAACCCTAAAAGTTGTGTGAGTATATTTCATTGCCATAACTCACCTTCAAACCCAACACGCTCAAGCAGGTTCAGTGGGTACCACACCAAAGGTCTGTTGCCCACTGGAAGCAGAGGTTTGGGAATACTGGAAGTCAGGTCTGTCATTCGCGATCCCCCTCCAACTGCCATCACAACTGCTTGAAATTCCATTTTTAAAAACTGTAATCACAGAGAAAACCAAGAGAAAAATGTAATAAAATCAATGCACACACAGTATTAATCTTATTTTTATTTAAGTTATTGATATTCACTTATGACAAACATGTCATTTCCAACTCCAATAACCAGAATAAGAAAGACTCCTTAGCCACAGTATAAACATCACATTTATCCTATTCTCTTACTGATACATACTCTCATTTCCAGCCTGGGGTTATGGGCTAGAGGGTGCAAATGAATAAAACAAAAATCTGGCTCTCGCTCTTGAGTTGTTGACAAATAAGTGAAGACAAATGCAGTAAATTACAATATAACATCATTAATGCCATGACAGGGATATATCTAAGGTGCAGTAAGCATATATAGTGACAGTAACACCTAAGTCTTCCTAGAAAAGACGGGGAAGGTTTTATAGGAAAGTAATGCTTGAGCTGACTCTTAAAGGAGTAAGAATTTACCAAGTTGGCTTCTGATATGTGAGTTTATATTCCCTGAAAAAAAATGTTAAACTTCTGACTAGAATTAACAGCACAAATACAAGCACATTAGATCTCTGAAAAGTATGAAATGACTTAAGATGCTTCTATTAATTCAGCCATGGGCTCCCATTTTTTCATTACCCGCAACTTGAAATATAACACTATAAACCCAAATGTAGGCTTGTATCTTAACCTAGGTTTGCAGAGCCCAATTACAGAATAAACCAAGTTAATTTCTTTTTTTCAGATTCAAGGTGATAAATGAAACTGTTTGACATTCAAAAAAATCTCTTTACAGCTGCTACCACAGAAGACAGGCACATTAAAAGCTCACAAATCCTTACTGATTTAAAATAAAAGTACTCTTTCACTTACAACAAATGATGTAACCTTTTAAAAATAAAGTGAAATGCAATGCTCTGGAAACAAAAATGTATTTAACACCAAACTGGTAAATAATGTTGCTCCTTTATCATAATTTTGATCAGTCCTGGGCTCCTCACATCAGTATCTAAACTGCAACACACACACACCCCATACACCCAAGCACAAAGTAAAGGCTCTTACACAATGTCCACAACGTAAAGATATGGTACTTTCAATTCCAGCAGGCACTGCCTCAGATTGGAATTTAACTTCAATCTGGCATTATATAAATCTCATAACATCTGATGTTATTATGAAAAGTATTAACACTGGATCCTTAAGAGTTAAAAGACCTGAGTTTGAGTTCTGGTTCTGTCACTTACAGGTGAGGTAACCAGGGGCCTGACATTTAAAACTCAGCGTCCTCAGTTTCTAGAAAAGAGCCTGGTGGTTAAGTTCACAGGCCCTTTAACCAGACTGCCTGGATTTTAATTCTAGCTCTACCATGAATTAGCTGTATGATCCAGGGCAAGCTACATACCTTTCCCAAGCCTCCATTTTCTTAATTTTCTAGGTGAAGATAATTAGTTTCTACTTCACAGAGTTGTTATAAATATTAAATAAGTTAACCCATGTAAAGCACACAAAACAATGACACACAAAACAAAAGCATTATTTAAGTTTTTGATAATAGACAGGTCATAGAAACTTTCTGTGCCAGCTGAACCATGCTGTTGCATAATTCTGGTCCCTGTATCGCTATTCTTGCTTCCTTAGTTGCCTTTCTCCTGTGTCCAGTATGTAACCACCAATTAAACATTAAAGACTCAGTTGAAGAATCACCTTGTGTATAAAGACATTCGTATCCCTTCCCACCCTCCCAGAGAAGTAACTCTTTTCTCCTTAAAGGCTTCCATTCTACTATGTACAGATCATCTCTACCTTTCAGGCTTCACTGCCCATTTATTTTAATTTTTATTATTTTTTGGCTGCCGCAAGTGTGGCATGTGGGATCTTACTTCCCACCCCCTCGCCCCCCGCGGGATGGAACCCGCTGCCCCTGCCGCTGGAAGTGTGGAGTCTCAACCACTGTACTGCCAGGGAAGTCCATCTGCCTGTTTATTTAAATGCCTGTTTCCTGGGAGTTCCTTGACTGTCATCGCTGTATCCCCAGTACCTGACATAATTCCTGTCAGGCGCCAGGCACTCAGTCAGCAGTTGTGGAATGAGTATCTGTGAACCTCACAACAACCCAGAGTAAGCGTCAAGCTCAAACATGTGCAGAAGGGACATCAGAATCCAAGTCACTAGAATCTGAGGTTCCTGCTCTCAGTGAAGCTCTGGGTGATAATCATGAACATAACTGATACCAGGCAGCCTGACAAATGTCTCAATGTCACTGCCGCGACTCTGAAGGATGGGAATCAAGGCAAAAACTCGCTAGCCACTAAGGCTTTAAAGAGGGTGTTCACGGCATCTTCAACCTGCCTTCGATACAGCCCTCCCTGCCTTCTCCCTTTGTAAACCGATAAAAACCCCGAATCACAACTGATCTCTCAGCCAGACTTGATTGTACTGCTCTTTGTATTTGTATCTTGCACCTAAAACAACCAAAAACAGAATAAAAGAACGAAGGACTTTTAAATGGAAAGGATCAGGCACTGTGCTCAGGGCGTCTGGTGCTCACTCGCTGTGACTTCAGCAGATCCTCCCCTCCCTGAAACTCAATTTCCTCAACTTTTGCACAAGGTGGCTGGCTCGGATGCTCCCCGAGCTTCTTTTTAGTTCGGCCAGTTGGCTCCGCGGCCAGGTCCGGCAGGCACTCGAGCTGGAGACTCGGGCTCTGCACCCTTGCAACCCCCTCGGGCCCTCCTCTGCCAGGCTTGAGGAGCCCGCCTCCCTCCGGTGAAGTGAGGCTCGGCGGCCTCCACCGCGCGGCTCCCCCCGCCAGCCCGCTCGTGCGCGGCCTGGCAGCACAGAAGCCGCAGCTTTACCTCAAGTCCCCGCGCGCCGCCACGGTTCCCAGCGCTCCCCGCGCTCCCCACGCCGCCGCCGACTGACAGCCAAAAGGCGCAGGCGCACGATGGCCGGGCAGATCGATGGGACGCGCTGGGCAGGCCCGCAGAGAAGAAAACGAGCACCGAGTAATAGATGACGGCGGAGAAGGACGCCGCGGGGAGGAGGGAAGGAGTAGGGGAGGCGGGGTCGCTGGAGCCTTTTCATTCATTCACAAATTACAAACGCCCACTGAGCGTCCCTCCTGTTGCAGGAGAACTAGTCACAGTCTCTTCCTTCAGGCAATTCTCCTTCTAGGACCTGGTCCCAGCTACCACTCTGCGGAAGGACAGCTCATTGGGAGCTGCGGTTGAGAGCTGACCAGTGATTTCACCAAGGATTGCCAAGGTTTTCTGTGTCCAGTGAGGTCTAATGTGGCCACGCAACGTTGGCTTTCTGAACCAGATTATTATGGTATGGAAAACATCCACCTTTAGCCATCAAAAGTTGGTCGGGAGTGTGGGATTCGGGAAGATCTCACTGTAATTGTGGGGAAAATCCCCTGGAGGAGGGCATAGCAACCCACTCCAGTATCCTTGTTTGGAAAATCCCATGGACAGAGGAGCCTGGCGGTCTACAGTGCATAAGGTTGCCCAGAATCAGACACGACTGAAGCGACTTAGCACGCACTGTGATGGTGATACTGAACAGTGGCTTGGAGAGAGTGAGTCAAATGAATATCTTGGGTAAGAGCCTTCCAAGAAGACTAGCCAGCATGTGCAAAGGCCTTGGAGAGAGAAGGCAACTTCAGAAAACAACAAAGAAGCCAATAGAGCTGAAGAAAAGTGAGCTGGGGGAGAGTGGATGACGGCAGAGGAGGCCAGAGAGGCAATGGGGGAGAAGGTGGAGAATTCAGATCCTGTGGGTCTTGTAGGCATTGTGAGGACCTTGACTTATGTAGAGGAGCAGCGATATAACAGATTTTTAAAGGATCACTGTGGTTGCTGTTTTGATAATAGAATCTCTGCTTCCAGAGACCAGTTAAGAAGCTGCAACTGGATGAGAGAATCCAAACAGCTGAGTCTAGACTCCAACAATTGTGAGATAACAATAAAATAATTCTTTTTTGTTTGTTTTAAGCAGTACATTTTTAAGGCAGATTGTTAAGCTGCATTATCTGGTTTTGGGCAGGGGTTGTGTGGTTTCCGGTTTTTTGGCCACGCTGCAGGGCTCAAGCGATCTTAGTTCCTCAACCAGGAATTGAACCCAAGCCTTGGCAGTGGAAGCATGGAGTCCTAACTACCGGACCACCAGGGGATTCCATAAACTACATTGAATAACAGAACAATGGTCGTTCTCTCTTTTGGAAGCTTCCTCTTTTTCTATCCATCTCTTTTTAATAATATTTCTTTAATTTTAAAAAATGTATTTATTTTTGGCTGCATTGGGTCTCCTTTGCTGTGCAAGCGCTTTCTCTGGTTGAGGTGAGTGGGGCTACTCGTCCTTGTGGTGCACAGGCTTCTCGATGCAGTGGCTTCTCCTGTTGCAGAGCACAGGCTCTGGGGCACGAGGGCTTTAGCAGTTGTGGCACACAGGCTTAGTTGCTCAGTGCCACAAGGAATCTTCCCCAGCCAGGGATCAAACCCATGTTCCCTGCATTGGCAGGCAGATTCTTAACCACTGGACCACCAGGGAAGTCCTCTATCCATCTGTTAAAACTTTAATTACCTTAGCTCCCTGCCAGTTAGGAACCGGAGTCTAACTTCTGCAATAAAAAGAAAGGAATTTGACTTCATTCAACAATATTTATTGCATGCCTAATGTATGTGCCAACCAGTGTCTGAGATCCTAGATAGTGGGACTATAACAATCAATGAGAAAGCTAGGACTCGTAATTTTTCCCCGACTTTCAACCAGAAGAGTAGGAGTTCAGCCTAGAACATACTAAAAAAAAAAAAATGTCCTACGGCCACATCCATAAAACTAGCCTATCTGTGCCCTGCCTCTCTTTCACTTTAGAGTGCTGGTGACGAGTTACTGGAAAATTATTTAGCTCTAAACACTGAGTTGGTAAGGGAGCCATGGAGTGATTGTTTTGGCTACAGGAGACCTGAAACTTGATTACCATTTCCTTCTGCAGCAGGATCCTTT